TTTAACCTTATATATTTAATATATTTATTTTTAATTAAATTAAAACATGTGAATCTTGTGTAAATTATTTATTTTATAATAATTTTTATTAATTTTATTAATATATTAAGATTTACTTATCTTGATTTAATTGAATATAAATATATTAACTATATAAGATTAAATATATAAATTTTATTAACATATTAAGTTTTACTCATTTGGATTTACATAAATACTATGATCCTGACTCGGACTCCACTGGCTGTGCGAGTCAAGTTGCAAATTCCAATACGTTCCTCACACGCATCCCCTTCTTCACTCTGACTCTCCAAGCGTGGCTTCTTATTTCTCTGGTTGGCGATCGTTGCGCCTTGATGGGATTTATTGGGATCATTTACATTATTACAAATTTATTATTGCCTTTCAAGTGTTTGCCTTAAAAGACTCCTCATATCATTATCATAGCCATTAATTATACATACCTAATATTTAAAATATATTCTCATCATTCTTACATATGAGTCACTTTCAATATATTACATTAAAATTGTAAAAAATTTTAAAATTAATTAATTTTATCTAAAAATTTAATAAATTTTCAACACTTCTTCTATTAAATATACATATTTTGATAATGTGTTTTTTACATCAATATTGAATTAAATGATAAAAAGAACATCTTGTGACAAAAAAATTCATATTATATCTGTTTTATATATACGATAGGAGAAATGTTAAATGTTTACGTAACATCCGAGGCTCATTTAGTCCATTCCACACACTTTAAGACTCTGAATTATTGACATTGATTATTAACTAAATTAACCCCACCAAGTCTGCACACCCTCTAACCAAATCCTTGTGCATAAAATGGTTCTCATTGCTGTCATAAACTTAAAATTTGCTAAATGGGCTAAACATGTATATCTATTAATATTAATGCACAAGTTTGTTCAAAGGATTTTACTTATATATATATTAGTAGAAAATAAGTTGTTCGTTTTAAATTGGTTGTTATAGAACCGATTTAAAAAGTGATTGTAGTGACTATTGTTTAGAAATCGAGTTTCTAAACTAGTTTAAGAAAATTTTGGGTTAAAGCTTTTTTTTTTTCATTTTTTTACAAACGCTAATTACCTTATATTGAAGGATGGGATAACATCCCAACTAAATAATTTTTTCAAGAGTAAAATTGTATTTCGTCAAAGACTCATCATCTTTTTCATTATTTACTGACATGGAATGTATAGTTGTGAAGCCAACATGCAATAATAACAAGATATTTTGACCCATTTTATTGCCATTTTACTATTAAAAATTAAATTAGACTAGCCAATTCTTGCCATTACTTCTAGTCATTTTAGCCCACATTAGATAGTCAAAATACCTTGTTGTCAATGTGCCTGGATTTCACAAATATTTCACTCCAACAAATAATGAAAAAGATGACAGGTCTGTAATGGAAGGAAGATTTTGCTCTTGAAAAATTTGTTTAAAGGATATATTATCTCACCTTTTAGTATATGGTACTCAACATTCGTTAAAAAAAAAAAGTTTAGAGGGAGGGAGAATGGCCTTTAATCTCAAAAATTTTTTAGACACACAATAAAATAAGAAGGGAGAATCATGCACAAAGACCATTAAAGAATGTTATTCACAGATAAGGATCAACAAAGAATTAATGCCTATCTGACAAAAGTACATTTGGAGGATCTAACTGTTTATTGGATTTAACAAAACACATTCCAAATGTGATTTCAATGAACTTTTGAGAGTTACCCAAATATATCCTTAATTGTTGTTAAAATGAAAACAAGAACTTATTTTTTTTGAATAGTGATTTATTATTGATCATTATCTATAAATAACACCTCCAATGATCTTGTGTAAATGCACATGCACGTACAGAAGCATGTGCACTCATCCACCTTAAGGTTGGATGGACCACACGTGCCTTCCATGCATGTTTCAAACAAAGGATTCTCAATAATGGAGCTCGATTTCTATATACTTACAAGGATAACGTGACTAATCAGAGACAGATATTATCCAATTCTCTATAAACTCAGGAAAATAGCTTGGTTAATGCCTTGATTATTATCATTGTTTTGCATCACGTGATGAAAATTAACTTGTATCAAATGTCTTGTATGCAAAAATGAAGGACAAACATGTCTTGATTATCATCACCTTTACCATATGTTTAGCCTTTTTGTCATTTCATGTCCCGCACGCCTTGACCATGCACTGATATGATTTTCACTTGATTGAAGTTTAATATATAGAAAAATGTTTTTAGAAATGTATTTAGAAAAAAAAAGGGATCGGTGTATTTCTAATTTTCTTTCTAAACAATAGTTTTCTACCTACTAAACATTACACAAAAGTTTGGTTGGTTGCTAGAAAGGAGATGAGAATGGATGGATTAAAGCTATAATAATGCTTTTGAGAAACATTGATAAAGCAGCATGTCTTTGCCATGGAACTAGACTTAGAATTACGAAACTTGGAAAATCAATTGTTGAGGCTATAACATTGAATGAATATGGGCCTAAATAAAAGATGTTGATTCATATAATAGATATAAATCCTTCAAAAATAAGTAGTCATTTTATATGTAGAGAAAATAGTTTTTTATCATACTTTCTTTTGTAATGAATATTAACAAAAGTCAAAGTCAGTCATTACATAAAGTTGGATTGTTCCTATCAAAGTCAATTTTTATGCATGGACAGTTGTATGTAACTTTATCCAAGGTGAAAATAATTGATGGGTTGAAGACACTATTGGATAACAATGATGGGAAAAAAATACAACAAATGTAGTGTAACATGAGATCTTTTAGAATTTGGAAGGAAAAAGGCTCAATGTTAGTGATTATGTAAGCAATTTACATTTATGTTTAGTGGAATGCAAAAAATTATGTAGCTTACTATTATACTTCATGTAATACAATTATGTACCTTAATCAGTACACATCAATTAGGGCACAATTTACTCACTTGAATTTATATGTTGTGAAAGATCAAATATATTTTATTTCAAGCAAAGGTAGTTGAGTGGAATGAAGAAATAAATAATGTAAGTAATGATTTGAAATAAATTTATGTGATGAAATTCTTAAAGCAAATCTCCCGTGCAAGGTACAGGGGAGTGCATGGTAGTTGTATATGAGAATGGTACATAGTCATTGTTGATGAAATTATAATTTAGTTGTAAGATTAGTGATGAAATTGAATTATATACAAGATAAGGTTACTTGTACATTGGCATTGTTGGTGAAACTGGCAAAACTTGTCATTAGATATGTGGACTATTTAGCTAGCTTGGCGAATTATTTATCATACACCACCGCATATAGTATAGAGTGATCATTCCTTTTTCATTGTCAGTCGTGCACTATGGCATGTAACAAAGAGACACTTTCTTCATGTTTTCTTGTCCTTTCGATGCTTAAATAGCCCAACTTGGTTTCAGACTCATATAAGACTAAAATCACAACTAAGTACATTTATTAGATCTTTTTGGCCATACATTATATTAAATCACTCAATTAATATAATCAAACTTGATTAATTTGTCAATAATTTAAGGATTAAAATTTAGGATGTTACGTCAATCATAAGCAACAGTATCAGTTATTAAACTGATAACTTTACTTATTAATTTACTAACATTAAATGTGAATTTTTAAAATATTTTGTAATTTACTAACATCAATTATAAATTATTGACATGTCATGTAATTTACAACTAATGTTGGTAAATTAACAAATAAAAGTTAACATATTAACAACTAATGTTACTGATTATCAAATAAATGGATGTAATTCATAAGTAATATTGATAAATTATCAAGCGTATTAAGAAAATAAATAACTAATAATTATGCATAATAAGTTAAGGATATTTTAATTTTTTTTATTGGTGAAATTTTTTTGATTTTTCTCCCATAAACTGAATTAAAATTTCAAGAATTTTTTTTAGACCCGTCGAAAATTAATTCTCCACGGTAGTCTTCAATTGAAATTCTCTCCTTATTGTATTATATTTTGTACTTTATTGCGCATACCTGGATGGCTGAATTGATATATTGCTGGAAATTTTCGACAGGAAAAATTTGGATATATATTATTTCATATAAAATAGTAAAAAATATATATAAGAGATAGGTTTCTAGAAGAATGCTATCTCTAATTTGTTTTAAAAAAACAAAAACATGGAAGTCAGAGCGTTTGATGAAGAAATGGACCTAAAAGCATTGGAGACAGGCCGCGGGACAATTGCTTTCAGTCCATAGAATCACGGGTTTGCACGACTGCAACGTTTTCTCACTTTACACGCATGCCTGTCCAATATTGTTAGTACGTGATGATATTACCTTTATAAGGGATATTTTAAAAAATATATTTAATCTTATTTATAAATTATAGTGCAGTTTTTTATTTAATATTTAAAAACACTTTTAAAATTATCTTTTATAAAAAAAAGTAATATAATACTACTTTTTAAATTTATTATATAAGGACATATTTAAAATTTTATATATATTTTTATTCCTTATATTTTTTTGCATTGTTTTTAATGAGATTGGTAAAAATAACTTATAAAAAAAGTGGAATATATCCTATTTTCCTTTCTCTTCTTTATTTTTGGATCAAAATTTCAACTACTGAAATTTAATATTTTATAATAGTATTATTATAATATTACATAAAAAAATATATTTAGCTGTTAAAATTTAACGTGAACCGTTTATAATTGTAAATTACATGTAAATTATTATAAAATGATTTATTAAATTTTCCATTGCAATTTCGACTTATTCAGGTTCAATTTTAGCTTCGCTCGTTGATATGGGCCCATCAACGTGGAACTGAGATTTCTAAACAAATCATCATTCCGTCTGGAACTGTAGACACTGAAGAAAAGTAGCATAAGACGATTAAGCAAAGGTAGAAATTTTGTTAACTCACGGACCTCGTCCCTTATAAATATATATAACCCTTCTGAGTTAAGCATTAATTATGAATGACAGATCATCGCTTATATTGTTGTTAATAGTTTAATTAGCTGTGAGTAGAGAAAGAAGAAGAGAGATGGCAGAGGCAAATACCAACAGATGGTCTCTTCAAGGCATGACTGCTCTTGTTACTGGTGGAACCAAAGGAATCGGGTATCTTTCTTCGTCTATCTATCCGTCTGTGTCTTTTATATGTCTCGTGTCATGTCTTGTTCTTTTTTATTTTCTCGTTTTAGGTATCTTAATTTCTCACAAGATGCATGAACACTCCCTTTCGACAATTCTATTTATATTTGGTGAAATGAGTGTTTAACGCCTCTTGAAGTAAAGTGAGATTATAGTTTTTTGCATTATATACATAACTTGTGTTTCATTTAAGCAAAGAAAGGAAAATTTAGAGAACTGGTGTATGTATATCTTGTTTAATTATATTTCAGGAATTTTGGAAAATTTTCACATATCAAAAGATCTACTTCGGACTCTTGAGGGCATTGAATTCATAAGCTAGCAAGCTAAACATGTTGAAGTGTTTCCAACTAATTAGTTGGGAGAAGTATAATCAGGTCCCAAATAAAAAAAAAAATCTCTTCAGTCCATGTACAAGTCAAATTTCTATATGTATATATTAAATGTAACCAATTAAATTTTTTTTTCAAAACAATTTAACTCACCATGGTAGAAAAGTGTCTACCATGATAAACAAAAATCAATTTATCCTATATTTTTTTTTGAAATAATTTTATAATTTAAAATACTATTATAGTAAAAAACGATAAAACATAGCCTTATAAAATACTTTACCTTTTAAATTAACTATCATGGTAGACAAGATTAAATCTCTTTTTAAATAATACAAAATAATTTTATACAACTAATACACATTTTACAACCATAGTTGGGTTACAGCTACCCAACACATTTTATATCAATAAATTTAACATAAAAACATTTTATAATTGGCTTAAGCTTGCACAATACAACTTCTCAAATAAATTTTTATCTCCCACATGCCATTAGGCTAAAATTACATTTTCCATCCTTATACTCCCGACAAGTGCAAACCATAGACTAATAACTAAAAAAATAACTTAATCAATTTTCAAAATAAGCCAATTATTTGGCCTCATAATCATGCCATTTCAAACCATCCAAAATAAATCAAAGATCAAAATTATAGTCATCCAAAGTGTATCAAAAGTAAAAATAGTTTGAAGGACATGATCATATCATTACATTTATATAATTGTTAATAAATAGAAAGCCCTAGTATTGATAATATAACACATTAAAAATTATAAATCAAATACCTAAAAGAGACAGTGGATCTATACCACTAAGCCTCAGGGACTCCTCCACACGCCACTTGTGGTTCTTTCCTTAAAAATTATTCACCACATAATGAGACTCAAGAGTCTCAATAACCAATATCAATTTATGATAGTGTATACAAATAGTTAAATGTGTGTTTGCTAAGTGGGGAAATAACAATAATATAATTCCAATAAAATAGAAGAAATATTACAATGTATAACAAACAATTATCTTTATCTCTCTCCATTAATCTCAAGTCATAACCCTCGCTCGGTGCTAAACTACCTGGCCAAAGGTAGATTAACTTGAGCCCTTACAAGCCACCTATTGGGCTTCAATAGGGGCGTATCACGTGACACATAAATACAACAATAACAACAATAAGTCTCCCAACACCTCCCACAATAATCAAACAAATTCATAACAATATTGTACAATTATACAATATTACCATTTTCACAATTTTTTCATTTTCAATAATATTGCAATGTGGCATCCCACTTGGCAAAAGTACTTCAAAATGCATATTCATAATTTCACAATTTTTTCATAAACATAACAAGGTAATTTCTCAACAACAATTCATAATTTTCTCAATAATCACCCAATTAACATGGAGCAACACTAATTACAAATTAAAAGCATGGTTACCTTGTGGCTTTGTCAATAAATTACCCTTTACAACTTCTCTTTCACCACAATCTTCACTAATAAAATAATCTACACTTGACATAGTATTATAATATATTAGTTTCAACTATTGAAACCAATAAAACAACTCTAATTTTAGAGTTAGAGGACATAACTTACACTTTCAATTTTATTATTTATATCATTTCTAAGGTTAGTATGACTAACCAAAATTCTAGCCATCTTCTAACAAATTATAAACATTAACAAGCTATAATTAGCCTCTAATTTATTAATTATTATTTTTTTTGTATCACCATTTTCCTTTTTTTCATTCTATAAATTCAAACAAAAATATCCCATAAATAAAAATTTAGCCTCATGTCACAAATCATCATTGTAGCACTTTACAATCATTCTAAACTCAAATAAACTCCTAATCATTACAAAAAAAAACCCCAATTTTCTCTAAACTTTATTTTCTTTAAAAATTTTAATTTGCTACTACAAATAAATTTCTCCATTTCAATTACATTCATAACATTCAATAACCTCATTTCATTTATTAGAGGTATTAAACAATGATAATTTCTCCAAATCATCCTTAATTTCAAAATTCCAACATCTACAATACCTACAAAAATCACTAATATTAACACTCAATCATAAACCTCAAAACCAATCCATTTAATCATCAATATAACCTCCATTAAACCAAAATAAATAATTAAATTTGAATAAACCATCACCCATAATCATACATCACAATTTTCTCAATTAAAACCTAACTTTAATCCCTCAAATCAAGAATTTGGACAAATCTAAACTACACAAACTATTATTCTAATATTATTAGCTTCACTAAAAATTAAATAATCAATTGAAATACTCATAAATTCAAAATATACAAAACCCTAAGTTTTTTTTACTGTGAAGAAATTAAAAATTAAAGAGACTATGTGATTAAGAAAAATATTTAGAGTACTTACATAATTTGAAAAAGATTGAAATCTCATCCAAAATATCTTATTGTGGAGCCAAGATCCTAAAATTCCTCTTCCCCTGTCGCTCATCACTTTGTTTCCGCAGCTCTGGAGCTGGAAGAAGATGAGGGAGTGAGAATATTTACTCCTTGTTGTTGTGTGCGAATGACGTTGGCAAGTAATTGCCCTCAAAATATCTCAACCTCTCTCTCTCTCTCTCTCACTCACTCACTCACGGCGCCACTGCAGAACAAAGAAGAAGAAAAAGACGAAGGGAAAGGAAGGCGAAATGTGTATTGTGTGTGATTGCGTCAGATTGCAAATGGCAATTATAATTGCCAATGGGTTGGGCCATGACCCACGTTTCCCCTTCCTTCAATATTTAATAATGTTATTATTATTTTGTTTATATTATATACATAATATATTATATTATACATTTGTTTTTAAATATAATATAATTGTTAAATCATTCCATCAATGCCAATGAATATTTACTACCTTTTTTTTCTTCTTCATTAAATAATAATTTAATACTTTAAGAATAACTAAAATCAATTTATTTTGATTATGATTTTCTCCAATTTCATATTAATTATTACCTTAAATTCCAATCCTTTATATTTCTAGATGACAATATAAATAAAGTTACCCAAAACCTCAATGTACTTAATAAATTATTTTCAAACTTTATTTAAATTCTTTAAGTAAAAATTGAGATGTTACATTAAACTTCAATATTTATAAGTCCATTTATAAGTAAATAATTTTTATATTTATGAGAAAATTAATTAACTACTTCTTTAGCCCATTTATAAGTCAAATTTTTATATTTATATGTTGAACTGCAGTATTTACAAGTGGATATGACTAACAAGTAAATATTTTTCTTACCTGGGACCAACATGTAATTCTCCCTAAATAATATTAGTCACAAAATTCAATTTTTTATGATGAATTTCAGTCATGCCATTGTGGAGGAGCTAGCACAGCTAGGGGCAGCCGTACACACTTGTTCTAGGAACGAGTCTGAGCTTAATGAATGCCTCCAACAATGGACCATGAAGGGACTTCAAGTTACTGGTTCAGTCTGCGACATGGTGTCTTCTGCACAAAGACATAATCTCATAACTGAAGTTTCCTCAGTATTTCACGAAAAACTCAATATCCTTGTGGGTAACTAATCTAAGAAAATTTAGACTTGGTTGTTGAGGTAGACCAAATTATATGCTCTAATCCTTTTAACATTATACACTCTCTTTTCATATTTATCTTTATTGATTAGAATGTTTCATAATTACACCCCTTAATTAAGGGTATTTTTGAAAAAAAAATTATTAATTGCATCTTAAAAGACACAATATCTTATATTTTGTGACATCTTACCTTGAAAAAATATCTTATCTTTTTTAATGGAGAGGATATCAAGATAATATATTTGACATATGTGTAATATATGTGCTTGTTATAGATTTTCTTAAGGCTTCTTCTTCTTCTTTTTGGTCGAACATAGATTTTTATAGATTTTCTTAAGGCTTCACGTTAGAAAGATTTTGGGGGTTTTTTCCCTTTTGGACTGATAGAAAGATTTTGGGTATGATTATTATATTTTTGTTTTTTTTTTATCAGCTTATGTTTTATTATTCAACAGGTGAACAATGTGGGAACAAATATAAAGAAACAAACTAAGGAATATTCAGCGGAAGATTTTTCATTTTTGATTAGTACAAATCTAGAATCTGCATACCACATGTGCCAACTTGCATATCCTCTCTTAAAAGCTTCAAAAGTTGCAAGCATCATCTTCATATCCTCCATTGCTGGTATGGTGTCAATAGATGTGGGATCCATATATGGTGCAACAAAAGGTAACCCATTCTTTTATTTGATTTCAGTGATAAGATAATGAATACTGAGTTTTGTTTAAGAAAAATTGAAATGCAGGAGCAATGAATCAACTAACTAAGGACTTGGCATGTGAGTGGGCAAAAGATAATATAAGGACTAATTGTGTTGCACCAGGTCTTACTAAGACACCCCTGGCTGATCGGGCAATTATTTTATTAATTATATCTCTAATTCTTTTCTCATTTTGTTATGTTGTCTAAGCTCTATATTGTTGGGATGTTAAGTGTGAGTTGACTTGATTTAATATAGGGAAAAAAGTTTCACATTGAATGGAGTTAGATTGGAGAAGAGATATATAAGTGAAAAAGACTAGATATTCAATAGGTAATGACAATAAAGTCCTAAAATATAAAATTTATGACAATTAGATCTGTGATGACATAATTTTTTGAAAAATAAACTACAAGTATCGATTTAAATGGCTGTAAACAAGAATTCCAATTGCAATCAAGAGTTATATTTAGAAGTTAAACATCTTATTTACAATTAAAACTTCTAAATTTACAATTGATTTTATAAAAAAATTTGTTTGAGACCTAGTTGTCATAAATTCATTGTTTTGAGACTTTAATATCAATATATCATTCACCCAAAATTCAATATCTTAAGCTTTTGGATTAAGATATGATGTCATATGCACTTATATAAGTGTTCTCTTGGAACCATTAGGCAACTTGAGTTGATACATATACTCCCTCTGGTCCTATCTATAGGGTAGAAAAAGATTTTTTTTTGTCCAGTTTATAAGTCACCTTACTAAATTTTCATCACAAACTCCTCCATTTGCTCTTCATTGAATGTTGGAGAGAGAAAATATATTGTTAAAATATGTATATCTAATATGAGTAAAGTTAAGAAATTATTAAATTTTTAGATAGAGTTAATGGGTTTTAAGACTTTCCTTGATTCTAATAAAGCATATTAAAAGTAACTTATCAAAAGGATAAGAGAAGTAGTCATGTTGTTGTGTCTTGTGGTCAAATTATACCCACTTTTTTGAACAATTGATTTGTGATTATTGTTATTGTAGTTACTCAAAGATGATGAAAAGTTTCAAGAGGATTTCATTAAAAGAATACCTTTAAAACGGATTGGAAAGCCAAATGAGGTTTCATCCATGGTGGCGTTCCTCTGTTTACCAACGGCCTCTTACATTACAGGACAAACTATTTGTGTTGATGGAGGATTCACTGCTTTTGGTTTTTGAATCAACGTTGCTCAATTATTACTCTCTTTATTTCTATCAAATGCTTTAGCCTTGGACTTAAATTGTATAAGTGGTTTAAATTAGAGTGTTGTGTGAGACCTTTGCTCTTATGAACAAGCTTAATAATCAGGAGAAGGATATATCATGTAAGCATAATTATTTTTATATTACCCTTATCCTCCTTCTAGTAAGCATAATTATTAAAATTCTCTCACTCATTGTTATTTGCTTGAAACAAAATCTAGCAAATAATTGGCTTTCCTAGTTTAAAGCTTCATATCATGTATAAATAGTAGAGATTTCATTTTTTTAAGAAATAAAAACATTAAAGTAAAAAAATTAATAAGATTTTAATTCCCATAAATGATTTAAATTAAAATAGTACTAGTTGGGTTTTTTGTCCATATCAATATATTTGATATCCACTACTACTAACTTTGATTCAACCATTATCAACTTCATTTAAAATAGCTAGGTTCAACCATTGTCAACTTCAATTAAAATAGCTTTTCAAAAAGAAATGTTTTTTTTTTAATTTTGTATTCACACAAATTTAAAACCTCATATTTAAACAATCACAGTCCATTCTACTGGAATTGATGCATAATGCTAGTTGGGATTTTATACATAACCATATTGAGGAAGGTGCAATAGTCCATCTCTCCTCTATTTTATTTTGGGTTAAGGATCATTTTTACCTTTGAACTGTATGCGAAAGTTCACAAATGACCTTAAACTTAACTAAAGGTCAATTTTATCCCTTAACCTTTAAGATTCTTCATTTCATTACCCTACCGTTTCGTTCATTTTATCTGTTAGTAGGCCTACATTTGAAATTTTTATTATTTTTTATTATAAAATATTTAAGCGGGTCTTACTAATTATTTAGATTTTTTCTCTCTCTCTATTCTCTCTCCCTCCCTCTTTCCTCTCTCTCTCCCTCTTCGGTGAAATCCCTTGCACCTGTGAAAGCTCCTTCACTAGCACCAGCTTCAATACTATCTCCTTCCTTCATATTTGTAACTTACATCAATCAGCAATTTGTGTGATTCATGAGTGTTCAACTTACAGAAGAATGCACATGATGTGGTGGAGGTGATAAAGGCAAACTATGATTCTTGCACCATCTCTTCTTCTTCTTCACCTAGTCCTCTTCTATTGTCACTGCAACAACTACTCCTCCTCTTATCCTCCTCTAGTTCGGCTCATGGCTCGGGGATTATTGTAATAGAGAATTAAAGGAGTCATCTGTGTGCATGTAAGGCAAGGGACTTGCTCATCAAGCATGCATGCTATGCTTGCACTTAAGTTAGCCATTCTTATCTTTCACTCCACTAATTGCGATGATTATATACAGTTCTAATAGGATGACGTGCAATCATGGAACAAGGTGTTGTTGTTATCGCGTGGGATGGTGTTGGCCATCAATTTGTTGTTCTTTATCTACTTCAGTCTTGTTTTTCCTTGTTTTTTATGTTAGAAATAGAGATGGTGCTTCCCACCATCACTAAATCTAGCGACTACTCCGATGTCTTCAACATACTCTCAAGAACCACCTCTATGCATGCATGCAAGCATGTTTGATCAAGAGGAAAAACTGCAAGTGTGCATGAAAGAAAGTGAGGGGGTGGCCTTGGAAAATTTTCTTCGTTGCTTTGAAGGTTGTTGATGGATGAGATTCTCTTCATTCCATGTGAGTACGTGAGGTGAGAGAGGATGATGAGTGAGAAAGTAGGGAGGAAGGAGAGAAAGGAGTGAAGGAGACTCTAGGAAGAGAGAGAGAGAGGGAATGAAGGGGAGAGAGAGAGGCATTTTTTTATAAAAATGGTGGGACTCACTAAAAATATTAAAAAATTTAAATGTGAGACCCACATAATAGTAAAATTAGGAGAGTTAATGCCAAGGGCATGACAGCAACAAATTTGTAAGTTGGGAGACAAAATTGACCCTAAGTTGAGTTTATAGTCTTTTTTATATTTAATTTTTTACACCATACAAACAATAATTTTAAATATATGAATTTTAAATTTAAGATTTTGAATCAAATATTTTAAATCTAAAATACAAATTTCAATCTAATGATCTAAAACCCTACCTTATAGAATTAGTTAATCATTTCTTAAGTAATACGGACAATATAAAGTTACTTTTACATGAAAAGAATTTTTTTTAAATTAGTTTCCATTTTTATTAATAAATAATCAAAATATCCACACATTTGAAGTTTTAGGGCCTTTTTATTTAAAATTAAAAAAATAAATAAATTTTAGATAGTTTAGACATTTTATAAAAAAAGATTTATTTTATAGAGATTTTTTTTAAAAATAGACATTATTTTATGTTTGATTATAATAATAAAAAAATAATTATTAGGTAATTATTTTATAAATTTTATGATATCTTCTTTTATTTCTATTTTTATAAAAATAATTTATTATTTAATTGTTTTATAATTTTATGATATCTTTGCGTATCTTGCTTTGTTAAAACATTCTCTCATTTCTATAACATTAGATTATTTTTAAAAGTTACTCAAAGTAACTTCTTAAAATAAAAATAATAAAAAATATGCCTTTTGTATTCTAATTATTTTCAAAATTTAAACCAAATCATAAAAGCTCACAAAATATATCTTTCAAAAAAGTAATTTTTTCATAAAATAAAATGAAACAAATGGGCTCTTATTGCCCTTTGTTATATTTTTTTTAATTAACTCTGCCTATTATTGCTGTTGTTGTTGTTACTACTACTACTACTACTATCATCATCATCTAGACTCTGCCTATTATTTATGCACAATTTACTTGCTGGAAAAATGGGGTATATTATTCTTTAGAAACTAAAATGTTAGAATATTCATTTATGAATTAACATTAATTAATAAGCCCAAACAAATTGATCTTTATGATCTTGTGTGGACCGTGATAGGTGGACCACACAAATAAGTCCAATAGGCAGAGGCCCAACCCATAACCCAATAGCTATCAGTTATTTCCTGTCTCTTAACTAAGTCAGAGATAATGGAATATAATTATTTAATTATTTAATAAAGTGGTTACTGATCTAATCTATATAAGTCAATCAGTCGATAACCACTAAACACACAATACATTTTCTTCTACTTCATTATCTCTGCATTCTGTGAAGACTCTGAGGTCTAGTGGGTTGTGCATTTGTCTACACTCGAGGTAATCAAATTATCTTAACCAAGCAATGGATTCTTCAGTTTCTAGAAGTTGCCACCAGAGATGAGCAATTGTGCTGTCGTTGGCAGCTTTCTAGTTTGCAGTGCCACTCTCTTAGCCTTACAGATCACGCAGCAATGTCTGGCTCACATTGTCTGAAAAGGCTGCAGATTTGTTGGAGATGGTTGTCGATGAAGAGAGATCCAGGACCGTTGAAGATGGCTAGTTCACATCCCCGATGTCGTGGTCGGCTACAGCTCCCTAGATGCTGGCATCATCTTCTTCCCCTGGCTCATGGCATCTCGCTGGGTTCTATGGCTCGCGGTTGGTGCAGACCCAGTAACCGGGTCAGAAACTGGATCATAGGGATTTGGTTTCATAAAGTGTTGGGCCTAAATTTCGTTTAGGCCCAGATCTGTGTTTAAAAAAAAGAAGGCAAAATAAAATATTAGAGAAAATGGGGCTAGAAGTGAAATGGATCGTTTTACTTAAACGTATTGGGCCCTAATCTTAGCCCAGTAGTATTATTTAAAAAAAAAAGATTTGTTGTTTCTGTTAATTGTATTTCCGTCCTAATTTAAATTACCTCCTTGTACTTACTATTTATTATATTCATGCTGTGACCCAGGAAATTTCTAGAAATTATAATGGAGTCCCTTAACTTCTAGAATTGTATTTTGCACCTAAATTTCTTCTAAAATTACATATTTACCCCTAAACACCTTTTAAAATTTCACTTAAGTCCTAAATTTATTTTTTAATTCTCAAAAGACCCTAAGGATTTTTGAAATTATTCTGTTTTGTCCTAAGGTCATAAAATTTATGACTTTATAAATTATTGGTGATGCTTAAGATCTTGTAGCATTGATAATGGACATACCCCATAGGTGTGACATTATAAATGTGATTTTGATGGTTGGTTTTAAGTATAGGCTAATAGCACTCTTTTAATGTATTAGATATTTTTTGTACCCTATATGTATAAAAATGTTTAATGCATTATTTTGTATGAGCTAAATCTTCATGATATGTGAGCCTTCTTGATACATGATTATAGTTGCGTAATTGATAATCGCTTGTTGGGGAATTCTGTTTTATAATATATTAGGCACACATAATTAATATTTTCTATTTTCTATTTTGTGATTTCAGTTTTTGCTTTTGTGCGACTATTCTTTGTGAGGGCTCTCAATGGGACTAACTATGATGACTGAAAAAAGTCCTTGAATATGTATCTAACCATTTCTGAGAAAGATTTAGCTTTGAGAGAACCCAAGCTTGCAGATCTCTCTTCAGAGTCTAGTTCTTCTGAAATGGCCTTCCATAAATAATGGAGTGAGTCCAACTAGATCTGTCTAGTAATCATCAAGTACACAATTGAAAAGAAAATTAGGGACAACATTCCTGAAAAGGATACTGTAGTAGAATACTTGAAAGTTGTTAGTAACAAATACAAGAAGCTTGACAAGACTCAAAATAACTACAATTTGTCACTTCTTGACAATACTTGATATGACAAAATTTTTGGTGTCAGTGAGTATATTCTGAAGCTTGTTCTTTACTACAACAAACTTAAGACATATGGGATTGATTTGGGTGAAAGTCCTTAATTTATCATGTTCTTAAATCATTGCCACCGGAGTACAAATTCTTGAGGACTTCATACAACTCACAAGAAGCTGAATGGTCTGTTGACCAGATAATATCAATAGTTACTCAAGAAGAGGAAGCTAAAAAGAAGAATTCCTCTCACTTAATAAACTATGTTTCTTATAGCTCCAACAGCAAATCTGGAGGGTCGTATAAGAAAAAGGGAAAGAAGTATAAGGCCTTAAAGGCCCTAAAGCTTAATAATCTAACTTTTAAGAAGGATGGCGATAAGAGTAAGAAGCAGAGAAAGAAATCCTTTAAGACGTCATGCAATTCTTGCAAGAAACCCGATCACATTAAAGCTAATTGCTTCCAACTGAAGAACAAATAGGAAAGTAAAGGTACAATTCTTTAAACTTTCCCTCTA